GGAGTGTAAAAATGAAGAGATTTTATTTCAACAATTGATGTCAGTAAACATTTTACGTTGTATTTTGTTGGAAAATTTGAAAAGGATTGGGAAAGAGAAATGAAAAATGTAGGAGAAATATGAATAAAATATTTGCGCTACATACATGAAGCAACGAGAAGATCAATGGAGGGAGAGAAGAAAATGGAATTGCCAAGGTTTGTGGCGCTTAAAGTAATCCACAGCAACAAATACTTGCGCTACATACATGAAGCTGGGCGAGTACATGGGTTTCTCCGATTCTCCGAAAAGGTGGTTTCCAGTCCCTACGCCAAGTTGGAAGTGAGGATAGCAAAGACAAGTAATAATGGGAAGCAATTTGTGTATATAAAATGTTGTTTCAACAACAAATACTTGGTAAGGGAGTCGGAGGACAAGTGGTGGATCGTTGCTGAGTCTAACGAACCAGAGGAAGACCAATCCAAATGGTCCTATATGCTGTTTGAGGTCCTCTTCTTAGATGGCACTATTCACCCATCAATTGAAAATGTTAATAAAAAGATTCGATTTCGCTATGTCCAGCTCAGCCACTGCGTCGTCGTCCCCCAAATAGTCCAATCTCATGGCTGGCACTTCGTCTCGAGCCATCTCTCCTATGTGTCTGCGTATAGCTTCAGACACTGGCACAAGGAAGTTCGCAAAGTGTTGCAGAGGTGTATCGCACGAAACAAATGAGTTTACTTCTGGGATATGTTGGTTTTTGGCAAAAAGGTAGGTAAAGCGAATAACTCCAAACGCCTACGGCTTACCTATATTCCAAGGGTCAAGATTAAATTTTGCCAGTTTGAAAATTTTCAAAAATTTCTGCCCTCGCCACTTCAACGCCCTATATTAGCCTATCCCTTCATTTCCTGCTAACGCGTCACCTCTCCCATTAAAGGGTTATGCCACGTGTACGATCACGACCCACTACTCTCTTCCCCTTCCCTATCTATTCCACTTCACATCACCACGTGCCCTGCCGCTCCTCGAGCCTCGCGCCCTGCCATTTCCCCTTCTCACTCGATCACCCTTCGCGGTCGGCCCTCCTCACAGTCGAGCTTCTCACTAGGTCACCCTTCATAGTCGGTCCTCCTCACAGTCGGCCTTCTCACTCGGTCACCTTTCGCAGTCGGCCTTCTCCCTCGGTCACCCTTCGCGGTCGGCCCACCTCCCACTCAGTCTTCTCTCCGTCGACCTCTCACAACCCCTGTCTTCTTCCTTATTCCCTTTATTAGACTAAAGCTGCACTTGAGAATGGGGAAGTACTGACGTAGGTGGGCCTATAAGAGCTTTTGGCCCACCACTTAGAGCCCAATACATAATTTAAACACTAAAGTTCAACATTATTGGAGCCCAATGTTGTACCAAGGACCAATGACATCTAAACACGTGTCAAGAAAATAACCAGCCACATAAGCAGACAAAGATCCTGCAAAGTTATTGCACCACACATCAGCCAATAATGGGGTTCCCTGCAGCATTTATTGCGATAACCCCTTCCCATCGGGACAGAACGGCCTCACCATGAACAAGACAAGCTAGAACATAGACTTTCGGCCAACATGACGGGTGGAAGTGGACAAGGAAATGATGAGTAAAGGATATAAGCAGCCTTCCAAGACAAAGAGAAAGTTAAGTTCTTTATCACCATTCTATCTCTATATTATATCACTCTCTTCTCTAACTTGCTCTTCGAAGGGTTCGCTGGGGGACTCCCGTTCCCCGTTGAACTCTTGTGTAGGTTTCTCCGTGGGCCGGGCAATCGGACAGCGATTTAGGGAGGCGTGGATCTACCTGACTCGTTCCATCAGAAGAAGGCAGAATCATCAATAGTAAATTATGTATATAACATGACAAGAAAGATTTTAAAAATGTCCAAAATGTCTCAGCGATACATTTTGTTTTAATGATTCAGATTGTCCCATCCAAAATTCAATGGTTGAGATGCTTTTCATTTCCCACCCAAATACGCTCTCTCTCTCTCTCTCTTACATCTTAAATCGTCACTCTACGAAACCTCTTTGCTCTCTCTCTCTTTCACACCTCAAAATCCAAGCCCAAACTTCTCTTTCCTTTGCCTCTCATCTCTTTGTCATCCACCTCTCGTCTCGCGACACGGCCACCGACTACTCTGACCACTAACCACCCCACCACCACTGCCTCTCATCTCCTCTCGCCCTCATTTATCATATCTCTTCTCCGATGGTTGTTCATCTGGCTAAGTGAGAATGGCCCCGTCCCCATTCTCTCTATCTTTGAAATCTAATCTCTTTCCATATACATCACTACACTCTTCATTCTTTTTTTTATTAAACCCATCTTAATTGCTCCCCATCTTATTTTCTCTCTCTCTCTCTCATATTTCCATTCTCCCAAACTCACAATTTTTTGTTAACCACAACCTATCCTCCACAATTGATTAATTAAAGCCATCATCCTTCCAAAAAAAATATATATATATATATAATAACACTCTTCTCATTCCCTCCCTCACGGGTTATCTGTTTTGTTCTATCTATCCAAGTTGAAGACCCAAGCGTCAAGAGACGCCCTACCACTTTCAAATCCACGATCCTTTCTTAATATTTCAACCTTTTATTATTTATTTATTTTTCTTCAATCCACTTGGGCATGTCTCTCACGAGTCAATATTTTTATTTTATTTTATTTCTATAACCAGGCTTATTTCCACTCAATACATACATATGTATGTATATATATATATATATCTTATGTAACGCATTCACCTTATCCCACCATTTTTTTTTATTTTTCTTCCTTGACTAATTGTCCACCAACTTTTGTCTCGCTATATTTACACCAACTTTAGTCCCACCAACTTTTGAAAAGTTGAAGCTTCAACTCTCTGCTTTTAATGTACAAAACCCAAATATGTTTGGTTATCATTTTTTAAAAATACTTTTTAGAAAATTTTATTTTTTTATTTTTCGTATTTTTTTATTTTTACTGAATTTTTTTAATATTTTGAGCAATTTTTTTAATTTTTAAACATACTTAACATACATATACCTAAAAAGTAAAAAAAAAAATTGAAAGAAACATTTAAAAAATTCACTAAATACCAAAAATACAAAAAAAAATACAAATATTCAGTACATTTTTTATATTTTTATGTATTTATTAATTTTTAAAAATATTTTTTCACAAATTTTTTACTTTTTAGATACATTTAAGTAAGGTGCATCTAAAAAAGTAAAAAAAATGTTTAAAATTTTAAAAATATTCACTAAAAACAAAAAAAAAATACGAAAATCAAAAAACTCAATTTTCAAAAAACTTAATTCAAAAAACTCAAACCAAACACACTGTTGCAAGCATGGCTTCGAGCAATGTGTGGCGGCTGACCCCACGTGGGTTGATCTCTCCCAAAATGTTTTGATACAATAAAATTTATAATAATAACCTAAAATTTTGTAACATAAATTATAATTTTATCTATCAATAAATCATAATAATTTTATGTTACAAAATATTTATGGAAAAAAAATTTAATTGTCAAAGTTGAACTTAAAATTTAAACAAATAAATAAAAGTTTATGTTTATTAAGAAACGTAACATGATTAGAACTGTTTATTTATTAAAAAATGTAATTATTATTTTTTTTTTTAAAATGGTGGTGGAAAATGTGGTTTTTTTGAAAAATGTTTTTTTCTTTTGGGTTAGACAAATTTGAACTGAAAATTTAAATTGGGTTCCGTTAAAATATAATTTTTTCACAAGACAAGTGAGAGAGAGAAGAGAGATAATGAAGGTGGTGTGATTTGTTTAAAGACTAAAAAAAGAGTTGTATTTTTTTTAGGGTTTTTTATTGGCCGGTCCTGAGTTTTTCACTTATTCCCCTCTTAGTCCTGACTTTTGATCTTGTGCACCAACAAGTCCTGAGACTTTTTTTTTGGTACCGTTTTACCCCTCCTCTATTCTGGCGCGTTCCTGTTTGGATTTTCCATCAAAATATTGTGTTTGTGATTTGGATTTCTGTGGAACTTAACGATTTGCTGTTGTATCTTCGCAATTTGTGGAGCTTCGTGATTTTTGATTTCGCGATTTGTGGAGCTTCATGATTTCTGATTGCGCGATTTGTGGAGCTTCGTGATTTCTAATTTCGAGCTTGGTGTATCTCCGCGATTTGTGATTTGCGATTGCGTGTTTGGTGATTCTTCCTATTTGCGATTTCGCGTTTGGTGTATAGCTACATTTTCTGATTTGTGGTGTTGTGGAGTTAGGTCGACTGGTATGTTTGATTTTGATTTCAATTTCAATGTTTTGGTTCTTTTTAGTTTGAGTTGGTGATTTTGATTTTGTGGGGCTATTGTTGTTATTCTGTTGTTTCTGTTACGATTGAATTTGTGTTTTGATCATGATATTGAAAGCTTTGAGATATGTATATGTAAAGAATTTTAGATTTTTCTTTTTTTTTTTTTTACAAAATTGTTTTGATTGAACACAGGTGCTGGTTTGTTATTTTATATAGTGATAATTTTATCACTGAGTATTTTGGGGTGTTGTTGGATTAACTTTTTCAACAGTGATAAATTCATCAGTGAGTATGGGAATAGGAGATGAAAAGGTTGCATAATGTAATGGTAAGATTCAAATTGAGTTACCATGTCTAATAAGTGTAAGCCTTATTCACTGTTCTTGGTTTTAATTTTGATTTTGTTAAGAATGATAAGGATCGTGTCACTGTTCATTGTAAGAGAATGGCTGATTTGGGATGTTTATGGAGCGTGCATGCTAGAGTAAAAAATTATAGTAAAACTTTTGTTATTAAACAATTTGGTGATGTTCATACTTGTGGATCTTCTTTTCGTACAATTAAACATGCTAGGATGACTTCAAGTATGATTGGTGGGCTAATTTCTAGTGATATTCGTAACAAGGCTTTGACATCGGTTAGTGAGGTGGTTGTGATTTCAAGGACTATTATGGAACAGAAGTTTCTTATCGGCGAGCTTGGATGGGTGTTGAAAAAGCAAGGGGTCTTGTTTTTGGTGACTATTCATCATCATTTGACGATCTTCGTTGGTATGTTGATGCCGCTAATGCTTGCAATCCGGGGAGTGTTTTTGATATGGAATTTGATATTGATAGTAAAGGAAGACATTTCAAATGCTTGTTTTTCACTTTTGAGGCATGTATTCATGGTTTCAAGTATTGTAGGCCTGTGTTGATGCATGATGGAACTTTTTTGAAAGGAAGACACCAAGGTTGTTTATTAGCTGCTACGGCGAAAGATGGTAACCAAGGTATACTTTGTGTTTATGTGTTATTATTGAAATAGTGATAATTCTATCATTTTTGTTGCTGGAGAGTGTTGATAATTGAGTATGGTCAATCTATTAGTGATAAATTTATGCTGTATACTTTTTGTTAAATTTTTATATTTATACAGTGATAAATTTATCTATGGCTGATGCTATATGTATATACTTTGTGTTTTGATTTTCTTTTTGTAATCTTTTTAATTTGTTACTGATAACTTGTATATATATATTTTGTTTGTAGGTTTGTATCCGTTATGTTTTGCGATTATTGATGGTAAAAGTTATGGCAGTTGGCATTGGTTCTTGTCAAAGTTATTAGGTATTTTGACTCCGGAGAGGGATATTGCAATTGTTACTGATCGACATAGAGGTTTGCTGAAAGCTTTAGCTGAGGTCTTTCCGTTTTCTTGTCATTCTTTTTGTCTAATGCATTTGAAGACAAACTTGAAGACTTATTTGTCAGTGAAGAGTCGTGAATCAAAAGAGTATTTGCTTACTCTTTTTAGTAGATGTGCATATGCTCCTACTATTGAGTTGTTTAATGAGCTATTTGAAGAATTTAAGGGTCGTTGTGGTCGTAGTGTTGAGAGGTTTCTTGAGGATTTGCCTAATGAATGTTGGTGTAACGCTTTTTTCAAGACAAGAAGTATGGTGAAATGTGTACAAATGCTGCGGAATCTTTTAATTCATGGATTAGGGATGAACGCCATTTGTTTTCAACTAGTCTTGTTAATGCTATACGGGTGAAATTAATGGAGCAATTTTTAAGAAGGAGAGAAGTTGGGAATAAGTGGAATCGTATTGTTTGTCCTTTTGTAGAGAAAAAGTTGGAAGAAGCTTTTAATGATACAAAAGCATGGATAGTTAAGAAATGTAGCGATGACATTTATGAAATCCAATTGGATCATTCAGTTATGGTTGATATTGGGAAACGTTGTTGTTCTTGTTGATTGTGGGAAATTGATTCTTTTCCTTGCAAACATGGTTTTTGTGCTATAAAGAGGAGTGGGAAGGATCTGAATTGCTTTCTTGATGATTACTACTGTGTTAGTAGTTATTGTGATTCTTATTCACATTCTATCTATCCAGTTCCTAGTATGTGGAAGCCAAATGTAGTTGTTGATGATGACGTTGTTTTACCTCCTCTTTGTAAGAGACCAGCTAGACGTCTAAGAACGAAGAGAATACCTTCTAAGGGCGAAATCAAGAGAATTAGATGCAATAGGTGTGGAAAGATGGGAACTCATAATCAGAAGACATGTAAATAAGCTTTGCTTTAGTTGTATTGATTTTAATTGAATTACTTTGTTTGAGAGTTGAGAGGTGTTACTTGCATTGAATGATTGAGTATTTTTTGAAAGATGTATCATTTTGGTACTCGCATTGAATGATTGAGGAATTTGTTGATCAGAAATTATATTTTTTGCTGATATTTTTACAAGATTAAGTTTCACATATTTATGTTATTCGATTTGGGTTAAATGTAGTTGCTGTTTTTTGGTGTTTTATAAAATGATAAATTTATCACTGGTTGGTTTGGACAAGTTGATGGATTATTTTTTTGTAAGAATGATAAATGTACCATTAATGTGGTTCTTGAATTTTGTTATTTTGAAGAATGATAAATTTATCACTTATTGTGTCGGAAGAGTTGATGGTTTATTACATTTATGTCAGTGGTTGATAAATTTATCACTGTCATTTCCAAGCAAATGTTCTTTCTACAGTAATAAATTATCATTGTATGGAGTTATCTAGTTTTCCCAGAAAAATTTCCACAATACAAAGGTGTAGATCAAATCTCTAGAATACATAATTGCATATCTGTTGTGTTAACTGCTCTAAAAAGCAAATTTTTTTAAATCAACTACCATGTTTATTTGGTTTAGCAACAAGTTCTTAGTCTGCATACTATTTTGTGGTCACTCAGAAGCTAGCTTTGGATGTTTGAGTTGTTTAACTGAAGTATCAAATAGTTTTGATTATTCAGAAATCACCAAGGATGGCATGTTCTTACATTCATTCTCAAAGTTGGGAATATCTACAAATTGTAACAGTATTTTAATTTCCAATTTGGACAATGTAATAGTGCTTGTGTTTTAATTTTCAATTAGGTAAATTTTTTATTATTTTTTATAGTGTTTTGTTTACTTAAATTGGGGAAAAAGAATGAGAGAGGGAGAGAGAGTCGCAGGTTTTTTCGTTTGAACATTGGTAAATTTATCAGTGTTAACAGTGATAAATTTGTTGAAACAGTGACAAATTTATCAGGGTAAACAAAACACTATAAAAAATAAACTTATCAGTATAGTGACTCCAAACCTGTTATTAACCTTTAAATTCAACACAAATACTCAGATTAGAATCAATTTTTTGAATGAAATTTGGATAACAAGACTGATATGAAAAACCAGGTCTGGTAACGATATGGCTAAAAAAGACAGAATGTTTCATTGAAGCAAATTTGAGATTGTAACAAGCAAGCATTGTCCATAACTTTGACATTGTAACAACTAAGCACTGTCCATAACTTTGACATTGTAACAACGAAGCATTGTAATATTCATTGGATTAAAGAAAGAACCAAAATCATCAAAATACAGGTAAGACTGTAACATATCAAAATATAGGTAACACTGTCCGTTTGTTTTCTTCTATTCCAAATGTGTTGATTATTGCAGAGGTAAGTCATCAATGTTTTGATCAGGTATTTGTCGTTCAACAGCTTGTTGGTCAGTCAAGAAGACAGTTAACATATCAGCTCTCAGTTGATTGCATTCTTCCTTGGTAAAAGTAGGCATTATGTTTTTATTGGAAACATATTGCCTTATGATGTAGCAAACAAGGATTTCGCAATCAAGCCTGCAAAAACATTTTGAAAACAAAATATTATAATTTGGTTTTGTTGCTTTTTTTTTTTTAATAATAGTGTTTTGTTATTGATAAACTTACGATGTGTCATCTTGCTGTGGGCTGTTGATGACGTTGTCTGTCTGCTGTTCAAATTTAACAAGATAAATGAGAGTTGGGTTCTCATGCTTTATGTATTTTTCAATAATCTGTTTCTGCAACATATACATTTGTATAATTGTTGTATTAGAAAGTCAGTTGAAAATATTAATGAGAAACCATGGATTTGAAGAATGATAAATATATTAATGTATAAATTTTGATGTATAATTAAGCATGGATCAGATATTATGTATTGGATTAATGGTAAGTTTGATAGTGAAAAGATTTTTACCACTTCATTTGCAGCATTGAAGTGTGGATCTTTAGGCAGTGCTCCCCTTGGTCTCATCGAATTGTAGAATTTCCATGAAGCTTCTTCAATGTCAAGGACAAGTATTGTCCAATGAAAATTTTGGTGAATGGGGAACAGAAGGTATCTTGCTTTCATTGCTTCAAGCATTATTTTGTTGAGCATTCGTGTTCTTGCTTCTTCATCTTTTATAGTAAACAAGTGCTAACAAATATAAATAAATAAAAAATAATGTTAATTTAACTTTAAACTTTTTCAAATTAAATAGGTGGTGAGTATGAAACTTTGTCACTGTGATCAAAATTTTATCAATCCATATCAAAATTTACCAGTGCATTGCAAAATTCATTTATACTACATATAAAGGGAACACATCTATTGGTGTCTTGAGGCCTTTTTTTCTCCTCCATGTGAAATGGATCTTTATATCCCCTAATACATCTATACTATGCTTCTCTTTCATTCTATAAATATTCGTAGATGATCTGTAATAGGCTATATATCCATACTGCATATTTCAAGTACATTTATGTGAGTGTGCACATCTACTAATATATATATATATATATATCATGATTCTCTTCATTCTATAGTTGTAATGAAAGTTGTCCGTTACTTAATAAATTACATGAAACAAGAGCTCTATGAGGCTTCACCACTAACAAAATGAAAGTGAACTATGTCCTGCAACATCATAGCATATAATCAAACTATTTCAATTTCAACGCATCTCAATATTTGTTGAAGTTTTCAATATCATATACAGTAGTTTCAAAAACCCCAAAAAGTGCCCAGAATTTGTAATCAAAGTCTGGGATTTACTCATACTGTGGCGCCACAATAACAAGGTCAAAATATATAATAGTGATTATGAAATCTGAGTTAGAAATTCTGGTTTGGTTTGCTTGACTTTTTGTTTCACATGTCAAGCTTTGAATTAGGAAACATGGCCAATTGAAGAGGGAAGGTAGTGTCATGTGTTTGAAACTAGTTACTCAGTTAAGCAAATAAAGGTTATACACTGATAAAAAACAAAACAAGTGTCGTTCCTCACTTAAGCAAAGTAGTTACTTACATGGCAACTTAAAATGAATACGAATGATGTTGTTCCTTGTTTTTGTGCAAGCAAGTGTTCTGCATATGCATCTATTACCTGTGTTGAAAACAAAAAACAAAACAAGGAATTAATATAAATAAAACACTAAAATGTTATTTTAATGAGTTACAAATTCAACTTACAATGCCTGCCAAATCTTGACCCTTTAATATTTTGTCAATGTCATTTAAGTAGACATAGGTTCCATGGTGAGATCCTTGCCACACTGGCTGATCCTTGAAAAAAAGGTTTTTAGTGTTGGAATAATAAATTTATTAATATTTTTGGAATATTTGATATTTATAAATTCAAAATGAGTTAATGATAAACAGTGGGCAAAAGTGAACAACAGGAGTCAAGAGAGAAGATTGTTATTTTTTTTTGTATTCGCCCAATGTGCAATGAGATTTTGCCTTGATTTTTCTGGTACGATGTTGAAAATTTTGTTTGAAGTTTTCAATTTCTTCATTACAGGCTGATGTTGTGTGTGTTGTTCTTCCGAGTACTTGTTTGCCTCAGTCAATGTTGCAATTCTCTCATGGAGTATTTTGATTTCTTCATCTTTCCTTTGCATTTGTTTTTTGTGTTGTTCTTGCATTTCCTTTTTCAGCTTGTTGAGTTGCTGCTGCAGGTTATCATTTGCAGTTTGAAGGATGTCCCTTTCCATTTTTAACTTTTCCATTTTGAGCATGTCGTCTTCTATCCTCTCAAAAACAAGTACTTCTACCAGATTTGGATCCACTTCAGGCTCTTTGTCAACTTTGTTTCCTTCACTCTTTTGTGATTCAAAGGGTACTATTTTCTTTTTCTTTTCAGGGCATATTTCGTGTGGAATTGGTTTCCATATTTTATGTTTGGATTTGTCTTTAGTCAATGTTTGTTCTTCTATTTCAGAAATTTCAGCCTGATTTTGTTGTTGAAAATCAGCATCTTCATCTTCATCTTCATCTTCATCTTCATCTTCATCTTTATCCTGAATTTCTCCTAGCAGCATTCGGTATGTTTTTTTCTCTTCATCTGTGTGTTTCAAATTGTTCTCCTACATATATGAAAATTAAAAAAATGAATGATATGATACAAATTTCATAAATAAATTTCTCATAGGAAATTTTATCACTCAATTAGGAAAATTAAACAAATCTATGATTGTTATAGCAAATTTTATCACTGAACTAGGCATAGTAAGCAAACCTGTCATTGTATATCAAATTTTATCAGTGAATTAGCAAAAGTAAGCTAATAAAGTAAATATTAAAAAAAAGTCATGCACAATAGACAAATAGAAAAACATTCACTAGATAAAAGAATTTTTCACTCAATTAGGTAAAGTAAGGGAAATTTGTTACTCAATTAGGAAAATTAAATAAATATATCAGTGTGAACAAAAATTTATCACTGCATAAGAAAATCTATCATTTGTTTACACAAAACAAAGGTTAGCATTGCATACCACAATATCTTTTAGCTCTTGCAAGGATGAACTTGCCAATTTCTATCCCAAACATGTGATGTTCCATTTAGCAAATCTTGGGATTGCATTTTTGGCATTGGGTTTGATGGTGCTTGTGTGTTCGCATATCCAATACTGTTGAAGAAAGAAAAAAATTGTTATAAACAAGTATTTAGTAAATGTAAATATTATAGTTCATAAGTTATAAGTGAGATATTTACTTACCAATATGACTATCACACATCCGGACACCTTATCAATTTGGTTGATGTTTCTTTCTATTGATTTTGTGAGATGTTGCTTTGCTGCATCGCACCAATCATAAGACTTCATTTTGTCAATATCTTCAAGATATTTCATGAACCCCCAACCAATTGTAGTGCTAATACCAGGATATAACAAGAGCAAGCAAATCAGGAGGCACACAAGCCTCATAATATCTTCTCTGTCTTCCTTCTTC